GTGGCGTGATAGTGTTGTAAGCAGCAAATCAGGACTTAAAAATATCCCAGCACAGTGGCACTGGAACAATTTTTAAGGTAGGGGTGCTGAGCTGTGCCCCCCCTTGCCCTGTCTGCACCCCTCACTGCCCCAGGCTGGGGCCAGTGGACTACAGCTGGGGGCGGCTGCAGAGCCCTGGGCCAGCAGCCGGGACCCCAGGCCGGCAGCAGAGCTCCCTGGACCAGTGTCTGGGACCCAGGGCTGGCAGCGGGCTGAGCGGGGCTGGCAGATGGAACCCCGGCTGGCAGAGGGCCGGCGGCCGGTACCCCAGACCGGCAGTGGAGCCCCTGGGACCGGTGGCCAGGACCCGAGCAGTGTGAGTGTGTGACGTAGTGGAGGGGCCTGACCCCGAGAGAGAGTGGACCCCCGAGAAGGGCTGTCTCACTAAAAGGGGCACCCCACACGGACCACACGGGGCCAAGAGTGGGCACGATCTGTGAGTCCGTGACAGAGTGCCACTGAAAATCAGCTCACGTGCCAGAGGTTGCCTACCCCTGCCTTATGGTAATCGGCAGCGATGAGGCAGCTCTGTTGGTGAATCCTTAGGAAGTGGCGAGTCGTGGGTCCAGGGAGGGCAGATGTCACACGTTAACGGGAGGCTGCCTGTCCCATGGTCTTCCTGAAATGACTCTCCTCTGAGTGGGATTTCACAGACGGGTCCATCACACTCAGATCAGCTGAACCTTCCACGCCACGATCTTGCTATGTTGCCAGGACCCTTTGTTTCATGGTGAGCCTTGCCAGAGCCCTGCCATGTCCCACCATAATGTCCCCGTTACGGGGTGTCTCTGTTGTGCTTCGCTGGGTAGCTAGTTGTGGACAGAGCTGCTTGGTCCTGCAGGACTAAGAGGATCATGTTTATCCCCCAGTGGTGCAGTCAGTTAAGGCCGGGATTGGGATTTCTCCGCTGCATTCTATTGCTGGCTGTAGAACTTGAGTCATCTGCCAGAACTGGGTTAACCCTTCACATCCCTGGAAAGGGAAGCCTCGCTCTGTGTGTGTGTTGCATTAGGTGAGGAAAGGGTATGAATAACCCTTCAGAGACCTCTTCTTTTTCTGCTTTATTGGATGTTCTCATCACAGGTTTTTTAACCCCTTAACTCCCATATGTGCCACCATCCCGTGACTTGAGGGAGCACTTCTTGAAGATTCATCTTCCTTTTACTCAGTCTACAGCTACTGTGCTGTCCCCAAAGAGAGTGGAGCATACCATCTGGTGGCTCTGGAAGGGAGGTACCACCGTGATGGTGAGGATTATTGAAAAAGTATGTTTCTGTGTTCCAGGGAATCCATGGCGTACCACTCTGTCCCCACAGAGCTGCTCCTGGTGGAGGAGATCCCACGCAATCAGATGGGAAAAATCAACAAGAAACAACTTCTCAAGCACTTCTACCCAACCTAGTGAGGCACCAGGCTGAGAGCAGGGCCGAGATGGCTCTCCCCCTAGTGCCTGCTGCCCCAATGGAGTCTCTCTGAGGAGCTTTAATGCATCCTAGTGCAATGGGTTTGCATGAAAATGATACAAATCAGGTGCTGTCAGTGATTTCTGTGCTCGTCATGCTGGGATTGTCAGTCAATAAAATCTGGTTTCATTCCACGTGGTCTCCTCATTGGCTGAGCAGGACCTGGAGAAGAGCAAGGTTATGTTCCTTCTGTAGGAGCCACTCTCAAGAATCTCAGAGCCACCCCCGATAGACACTGAGCAGCCAGGCCCAGGAATAAATGGTGTGTGTGAATACCAGGGAGGTCTGAAATATTTGCAAGTAAGAGGAGTGTCCTACACGCATGCCAGGGCTGATCATGGAGGACTTCAGACTCCTGAGGACTTGCTGGGCAGGTCCCTAGTTCACTGAGTTAGTGTTTAGATGCAGAGCTTTGGAGCGGAGCGCGGAGCTGAACCGCGGAGCAGCTCCGGAGCAGTGGAGCTGGAGCGGAGCCGGAGCACAGCTCCAAAGCCCTGTTTAGATGGATGGGAGATGGCCAAGGGGAGCA